TCAAGCTGGACATATGGCTTAATGCGTTAAATCACTTTAGAATGTTGCATCTGTTTTTTTGCCCTGGTGTTAACACCTGGATCAGATTAACACTAGTGCAGAAGTTCAGGACACATATAGCTGTTAATTTTAAAAACATCTGTGTTTTTTTTTCTTTTAATGTATATATGTGTGTATATATGCAAGTGTGAACTGCTGGATCTCCTGCATTATTTGAGGTCGATGAAAAAGTCTGCCTTGTGCGCAAGGTGTGCACTAACCTAGGCATGTAGGAATTTTATAGCAGGTGATAAAATGATTCTTTTGGGTGAATAAGCAAGTGTTTCGCCTTTACAGCTCTTGTCTTTCTCCAGACTTCCATTTTTTAACATGTTGATGGCTGACCGTGATCCTCTTCTCCCCTCAAAGTGATCCGTTTGTGGTGCACAGAATGAGACATCCCGCTCTCCCGGGATGCGTGAAATGGGCAGGCATTAAAAATTGAAGAAAACGAGTTCCCTGCCCGAGCTGCAAACCTGATCTGAGGCTGCTTGAAACTAAAAATGCCAATTGTGTTGGAGCTTTGAAAAATGACTTTCCCTTGTGACCTGCTGCCTTTTAGCAAGAGCAGAGTTTACGGTCCTTTTTAAGAGTGATGAGCGCAGTTAGAGGGTTTCTCTTGTTATGCCCATTAGCAAGATTGGACTAATCTTCAGGATGTAACCCGAAGGTAAACTGTGAGTAAAAGAGAAGGAGAAGACAGGGCTAATAAGGCATTTTGTAGTTTCCTTTATGCCAGAGTCTGACTCGAAGCCAGCAATTAATATTATTTTCTATCTGTGGAGAACCCAGATTGCTGCGAGTGCAGGAGGAATTATAAAGAACGTGTCAGCACCTTCCAGAGTGTTAAGAACTGCTTTTAAAATTGCTGATGGAATAAGCTGCACTATAGCAGAATTAATAGCTTGCTAATTTAGTAATTAAAGACAAATGCTTTTATTAGTACTCCTGTTTCTTTTTTTTCCTGTCCTTTGTTTTTTTTAAGAGGAATAAATAAATGCACTTGGTGCTAATCAGAGGTGCGTAGCTGTTAGGCTGGGAGTCAGCACCGCTACCCTGGTGTGTCTTGGAAGCTCAGTGAAGCACGGAGGGCCCTCACGTGCTGTAATTTGCCTTGCTGGGCTGCAAATTTGGAGCAGCAATTGCCAGAAGCTGTTTCTGGCGCATCCATACAGAGCTGCTACTCCTGCTCGTGCACGGGCCCATCATCCGAGCAGGGTGGGAGCTGCCACCGGCAGCTGGGCGGCTGCAGGGTGGTCCCGGTCCCCAGCCTCGTCCCCCATAGATAGGCACTGGCTGGGCGGGCTCACACCTCGTGGCGTGAGGCTGAAATCCGGAGCTGCCTTCTCACTTAGCCGTGCTCTTCAGAGGACGCTGGGAAGCTCAGCCTTGGTGGAAATGAAGTCATCTGGCTGCCTGGTGCCTCTTCATGGGCTTCATTTCTGTGTTTTGACACCTTCTTAACCGGGAAGTGTTAAGATGGGACCCAGAGTCTGCACTCTTCTGCTGTGAAGGGTGACAGAGCAGTGGAACAGGCTCCCTGGAACAGGCTGGAGTCTCCTCTGGAGATGCTCAAAACCTGCCTGGATGGGACCCTGTGCCAGGTGCTCTGGGTGTCCCTGCTGGAGCGGGGGGATTGGACTGGGGAATCTCCAGGGCTCCCTTCCAACCTCAACCACCCTGTGATTCAGTGTAACGGAGACCAAGCCGCGCTTTTCCCAGTGGTATTTAGTGATGGCACAAGAAGCACAGGACCGAAAGGTGCCAGCAAGTCAGCAGATTTTGTACCTTTATTGAATATGAAGTTCCTGTTTCTCCCCCTTTCTCTGAGACATCTCTTTGCTTGTTCTGCTGGCTGGTGCTGTTAGACGAACTGGGGATGCAAAGGGGCCCCATCCAGCCGCACATGTGTGACCGGGACGCGGCCCACGGGCCCTCACTGCTGGTGAGCACGGCAAGGTCACCAAGCAGCACCGCTCCACCTGCCCGCCCTTCACCTTGGGAGCAGAATGGCAGAGAGCTGCCCGGCTCTGAGACCGCAGGTGTTTGCATGAAAACCTGCGTTTCTGCATCCTTTTGTGCAGGGAGATCTCGTGTTGGCCAAGTCTGGTTTTGATTAGGTTTCCTAATGTGAAACAGAGTAGTAGCTGAATGCTCACAGGCTGCCTATGTGAGGCTTTGTTGCTTTTGCTGCAGGACATATATCTGTGCCTTTCTCGTATATTTTTTCTAATATCCTCCCAAAATAACAAACCATTTTTTTAAAAAAACACCTTCAAACTTAGCAAAAAAAGAAGTTCTGAAAGAAGTTAGACTTTATTTTCTTTGTCTCAAATCTTGGTTTGCAGAGCATACAGCATTCAATACAACTGGGCCATTAGAGAGGCTAGAACTAGCGGTTTCTGTGTTTTTCATGCTGAGTGACAGGCGTTAGAATCTGTTATCTTTACATGCATGAGAAACTGCTTGAATTTCAGAAGCATCAGCTGAATTGCATACCAGAACACCAGGTAGTCAGTTCTATTTCTTCAAGGCTTGCGCTTGAATTTTTCTCCGTATGAACAGGGCTAAACAGCAAAGGATCAGGATTGCATCAAGTTCATGGCTAAGGCGGTAAATAAAATTTGACTGCGTCAGTCCCTTCAGAATGTATAATAGGTGTCTTTACGATTTTTGAGGTTTAGTTTTGGTAAAGAAGAGACCAGGTGAGTGAACGTGTGCCACAGCATTTGTGTGATTGCTGCTCAGTTGTAACAGAGGAGAAGCAGTTGGTCTTTAAGTAGTGTAGCAGCGTAGTGCGGAGTTGTTTTGTACACATTTATACACATATACTGATAGCTATAGGGTTTTTCTCAAGTGGTGCAAGTATTGGAAATGCCTATGTTGCCGAAGATATAATAAAACCTACAATTTCCTGGGAATAACATATATATCCCATAGCCTCAGTAGCAGGGCATTCTGCCTCAGGAGAGGGCAGTTGCAGTGGAAATATTATTGCCACTTATTTTCTTGGTATTTTTGCTCAAGAAAAGAAGGCGACAACAACAAAAAAGAAACCTTTTGCGATTCAAGGTTTCAGCTCTAAATTGCAGTGTTTGATAGTGATTCTTAGCCAGGCTCATTGCTTGGAGTTTGTGTTAACGGTTTGTGTTTTGCTCCCAAAGAAAGGGCTCTTTCTAGCATGGCACCTGCTCTATTCTTACGGAATTCTTAATTTTCTCGGAGTGGTTCTTAGAGTGATACTGCAACCTGAAATCACAAACAGAGGACCTAAATGTCAGGCAAGGACTGCGTTGCAGGACAAGATAAAACAGTGCGAGCACAAAGAAGTTGCTTTCTTCCCATGTTTTTTTGTACTGAAATGAGAAAAATATGTGGGGCTGAGAAAACAAACAGCAGCAACCCGATCCACTGCCTAAGCAGAACGCGAAATGAAAAATTTCAAGTGTTCTAGAAGGCACCGTCAGCCCCTTAAAAGATTCAAGCTGACCTGCCCCAACCTCCCATACGCACAGAGACAAGAGGATGTGCCGAGAGGGAGCGCGCCTGGAAGCACCGCAGCGATGGGCCCGGGACAGGGGAGACGCTGAACTGCTCGTATTGCCAGTATTGGCACGAAGGTCCCCTGGCAGAGCGTGTTAGGGAGTCTCTTTTTAAGCAACAGGGTAATATTCCTAAAGTTAGTGACATGAGATTGGAATTTGGGCGCAGATTCCAAAGTGTTTGTTTTACCGGATGCGAGAGCAGCAGAGGGAACAATGTTGGCCAGCGCGGGTCCGATGCTGGTCTGAGCTGCAAACCATTTTTTTCACTTTACCTGACCTGAATAAGTGTTCATTATGCAGGGATTTTGTTGTTGTTGTTGTTTGAGAAACAGAGGAAAAATGAATAAAGAATTAGATATAAATCTTCTCTCTCTCACTTATTTCACATTTTTAATAGTAGAGTCCTGAGCTGGTCGGGCTTCTAAGTGCTCTGGTAAAAATAAACAGTAAATGAATGAAGCTTGAAATTGTTACTCTTAAATATAAGTTGGCTATGGAAACAAGCTGTTAATTAAATTCTGGTCATCTTTTTGAGCTATGCAGGTCTCTCACCTTCTCCTGCAGCATGAATTTTAAATGCGAATGATTGGGTTTGTACAAAAAGCCATTCCACAAACATTGGAGTGGACAGCTTTTCCCAGTGCTGAATACACAGGGAGATTGCTAGCGGCTGGCACCCAGTCCTTGCCAGGGTAGTTGGAAACAAACCGCCTGCAAACTGCAGCATTTTTTTCCCCAATAAAGCTGGCACAGAATGGATTTCATAACCCAAAATAAAAATGTTTTTTTTTTTCCCTCTCAGTTGTAAATGTAAGAAATTTAAAGCAAAGGTCTCTTCATCTGTAAAATATTCTGCTGCAAGGTGAGAGTGGAGGATGTTTCCTGTCAAAATATGTATGAGGAGGCTGTGGGAGTGCCCCACACGGCAGCAGATTTGCATGTTCCTACCGACTTCTGTATTTACTGATCATCCATGTCAGGGAGATTCATTCCAACATCTAAATTAAAACTTCAGTACAAAAGGCCAGTTGGGGTTTTAGTGCTGAATTACTGGAGAATCAGTTGTTTCAACAATAACGTTTGTCAGTTTTTCATATTTCTTTTTACATTTTAATTATAACTCATCAAATCTTAACCGATTACTCATGGGTTAGACTCAGATGAATGTCGCTGAAGGGTGTTTTAATTTAATGGAACCAGCGTAACATCTGTTTCTAATGTTTTAAAAGCCAATTTATATGGAAATCTGCTTTAGTAAAAAGTCAATAATACAGACTCTTCTAATACCTTCTGTAAAAAAAAAAAAATTCAAAACTTCAATTAAAACAGTATCAAAGCAATGCCATTCTTTCTTCTTGTCACGATGCGACTGCGTTTTGACAGCCTGTCATTTTGTCACCTTTCTCCTCCGCTGAAATGAAGTTGTGCTTTGTCTTTCGCAGTCGAGCTATCAAGACGAACCAGGATCTCCTGCCGGAGACGCCGTGGACCCACATATTCTACAATGACTTCTGGGGCACTCTGCTCACGCACAGCGGGAGCCACAAGTCCTACCGGCCGCTCTGCACGCTCTCCTTCCGCGCCAACCATGCGCTGGGCGGCATGGACCCGTGGGGCTACCACCTGGTGAACGTGCTGCTCCACGCTGCCGTCACCGGCCTCTTCACCAACTTCTCCCGGATCCTCCTCGGCGACGGCTGCTGGACCTTGATAGCGGGCCTGCTCTTTGCCTCCCATCCCATCCACACCGAGGCGGTGGCCGGGATCGTGGGCAGGGCGGACGTGGGCGCCTGCCTCTTCTTCCTGCTCTCGCTCCTGTGCTACGTGAAGCACTGCTCCACGAGGAGCTCCTCGGCGAGCACGTGGGGCTGGATGGCAGGCGCGGGGCTGTGCGCGGCCTGCAGCATGCTGTGGAAGGAGCAAGGGGTGACCGTGCTGGCCGTCTCCGCGGTCTACGACATCTTCGTCTTTCACTGTCTGAAGATGCACCAGGTCGTCCCTGCTTTGTGCAAGGTGAGTCCTCCGTTCTGCCCCGTCAGCTGCTTGCGCAGCACCAGCCGCTGTGAGGCAGGTGCTAAATGAGTTTTTCCACTGCACGATAATTCTTAGCGGTTTAGTTGACTCTGAAAAATAAGCACAGATGTCTAATACTGGAAGTGTGTTTAAGGCGGTTTAGTTCGGGTTTTTACATTTTGCTTAAACGACGTGCTATTACCCACTGCTATTGCTCTCCGCTGGGGATGTATTTCTTTCAATTACTCTCTTTGCTTTCGGCAGCTCCCCCCTCCTTCTGTTTACCATCAAGCACTAGATATCTGCCTGCCTTTTGCAAGGAATTCATTCATGCTCTTATCCCCTTGTATCCTGCGAGCTCCGGGCGTGCAAGTGCAGCAGCAGCAGCAGCAGCTCTCGTCTGCAGGCTCCCCAAGGCAACGACAGAGCCCCCTTGTTCTGCTTCCACAGAGGTGCACAGGACCTCAGTGCAAGCCTTTGCCATATAGATGGTTTGTTTTTCTTGCTCTAGTAGTAGCTGTGACTCAAGTATATTACTACCTTACCAAAAGAACTTCTTTCTCAGGAGCAAAAAAAGGTGGAAGAAGCAAGCAAAAAATCCCACCAAATCCACAGCCCTTCCCTAGATGCAGACTTCATGAATTTTGGTAGTATCCAGAAGGCCCAGCTGAAATCATGACTTAATTACTGCAGTTGCTGTACAAACGAGTAAGCCGAGAATGTGTCATTTGATTTTCAGTGGAATGGTTTTCTGTCAGAAAAATGCTGACTTCAAAAAAGGAAAACGCTTCATGGGGACATATCAATTTTGTCACATTTTTTCAGTGAGACATTATCAAGAAAAGCAATAAAAGAAAATAAGGATTTTTAGCCTACCTCAGTCACAGTGATTTGAAAATTTGCCTGTCCTGGAAATTTTGATTCTTTATTCTAATTCAGATCATAAAGAGCCTCTATATTTTGGTCAGCTGCAAAGGAGAGATGATTTCTGTTTGTAGAATATATGCCTGTAGGATACATGCCTGTAATTAAAAAAAAAAAAGTCAAAAAAGCAAATATCTACCTAGAAGTTCCCTGGTAAACTGCTGTGACAGTTGTGCTGATTTAGTTACCATGCCCTTTTCCGACAAAACTGAGCATATTAAAGGAAGTAATCGCTTTGTGTGTTTTGTTTTCACATATTTATTTGAGTATATAAGACTTCTTTTGAGTGCCAGTGGCCAAATGCAATGAATATGTTAAATCATGCACCTAATGCTGAGCAGGAACAAAGAGCAAACTCATTATGTGAAAAAGAAAACATGCAGTATGTAACAAATAGCAAGTGTTACTCTGAAAGAGATAGGCTGAGGTTTTGCAGAGCGCCTCCAGGAGTTTGATTCGTAACTCTTTCCCCATGCTAAAGAATGAATGAGTAGTAAAACATTTCATTCATTTCATTGTGTGTGTTAAATTCTGAATTCTTCGTATATGACTTCATATGAAATCTAAGTTAATGTTCTTGATAGTCTTTCCTCGTCGCAGTGTGCTTTTGAAGACCAGGAAACAGTCTTGGAACTAACAAGTTCCTTTTTGTTTTTGTGTTTCATAGAACAATTGTTCCTCAAACGGAAAAAAAAAAATCAGACATCTGAAGAATTTTGATGAGGACTTTTTCTTTCAGGGTCAGGGTAAAATTAGTCCAGAAGAGACGTGACAAAGGTGGAGAACAGGTTTTCATGTTGTAATTTCTTGGCCACAGTACCTCTCTTCCGTGGTCACAGGATTCTAAATTAAATCTAAACATTTGGCTTCGAATGTTTTTTACCAAGACAGGAAGTTTAGTGCAGGACAGTGAACTAGTTGAACTCAACTTTTGTCATATATAAGAATAGATATAATAATAGAAATAACTCTACATTTTGTAGATTAGAGAACTTTGAAGAGATTAGACACTAGCTGCAGAGAACCTTATAGGGAGAGACCAAGACATTGCGAATACTTTGCTTGAGGTGCCAGAGATATATTTCCTAATTATCTAGGGTACATTTTCCTTCATTTGCTAAGGCTGAGTGTGGCTCATCAGGTACCACCTCAGTGCTGGGGAAGCTTCTTTTGTAGGCATTTATAGTGGTGAGGAGTGAAGTATCTTCAGTGAAGCTTGTATTTTAGCTTTCTGAACCTTGACAAAAATCATTCTCAAATGGCATAAGTTTTTCGAAGATCATTTTGTCCTGCAGGGCTTATGATGCCAAGAATATCTTTGTTGACCTTGTACATTATGATAAATATTTCTCTTTTAGTACTTGTCAGTATTTTTACACTCCAGGGTTGCATTGACTGCCACCTTCAGTGTTGCCAGTCTCTTTTCCCAAGCACTTCATGGAAAATAAAAATGAAATGCAAGCACTTTGTAACAATAATGACCACAAGTGAAATAATGACTCAAAATGACTTAAACGGGACGAGCACTATAAAAATTGGGGGAGGAGGGAAGAGATGCCATAGTTGACAGATATTTTAAGAATGCCCTTGTAGGTGAGACATGGATTTTAATTATAGTGTTTCTGACCAGTGTATCCCAAGTCCTAGATGGGAAGGCAATGTAGATGCTGCTCTCTTGTTTTGAAATTATCTTTGATATATTTTCACATAATTTCAAGATGATTATACTCTAAGATTGTGTATATAGATAGTGAATGCCTTTCTGTACTGACATGATTAGCAAGAACCAGGACCGAGTTTTCTCCTGGGTGCTTTGTTTTTAGTTTCATTCTTTGTGTTTACATGTCCAAAGAAAAGGACAAGTTTATTTAAATTGTGTATATAAAAAAAATGCACGGAATAAAAATCCAGAGTATGCAGCCAATGGATTAATATTTTACAGCTTGTAGAAAGAAAGCAAGGACGAAAAAAAAAAACAAACTCAAATAAAGGAAGATTTCAGCTCCACCTCTCTTTGGGACTTTTGGGTGTTGCCTTTTGCTTTTACCACTGCTTTGGCCTTAAATAAAACATATCCCTGTGAAAAACCTGAAAAACTCTCCCTAAAACAAACTGTAAAATTTCCTCATGCAAACAGAAACAAGGATTGCTGAAGAGTTGTATTTTTTTCTTTGATATTGTTGCCTACACCTTTTGTTTGCAAAGACATCCCAGTGCTGCAAATTGTGTGAGCCCAAAGTGGCTCTGTCTTTCTCAATCTACAAACAAGTCGCTCTGGTGTGTGAATAACTGGCTTGAGCATTTATAAACTGGAGTACAGTTAAAATAAAAAAGCCAGAAAACAATAACGAAAATCTAATTTCAGGACAGTTCTGTAGGTACTTTGGACAGTTGGGAAGAATTGCCTCCATCTGCTTGCTCTGGTATTTGTGTTTTGTGTTTTGCCAGTGTAAACACAGAGGATGAAGATGACTTGGGAGGCGGGGGGGAAGAGAAAGAAAAAAGATACTGAAAAGGGCAGCCCAGGAAAGGTTACAGTCTTTTGTAGTTCGTTTGAGGGGAAAATATAGAATGGAGCCAACGAAGAAAGGAAAGTAATTTTCAGTTGGTTAGTTTAAATCTGAACTAAATAAATATGCAGTAACAATAGCAAATTGAATGCAGAACAAGCAGTATGGCACTATATTTTTGCAATGAAGTGGTGGAAAGGAGCTATACCTCTCAGTCTGCATAAGCCTCGAATAGTCCTAACGGTGCAGCAACCTTGAGCCTTGAGCTGAGGTGACGCAGCTCTTTGCAGCCTGTGCTGTGAGCTGGAACAGAGGGGCAGGTGGACAAGAGCATCCCCTCCAAACCCTTTAAATTTCAAGGAAAAAAAAAGCACATTATTTTGTTTTGAGGGCTGTTTTAAACCAGAAGCAATTCAGCTGTATCCTGTTCTTACTGGTGCCCTACAAGCAGCTGTCCCGGTGCTGGGGCAGAAGCAAGGAACTTCTTGGAAGTGGGGGGTTTGAGGGAGCGGTGGGAAAGGATTTGGGCTGGATTTTTTGACAGGCTTTAGGCTCCTGAAAGCCTTTTTGGTGTGGGGGACCGGAGACCCAGTTAATTACATATGAAGAACAGTAAAGTCACAGACCTTCCTCAGGCTGGCCAGTGAGACTGAGCAACCTTAAATACTCTCTAGCAGATGATTGGAGGTGCCACTGGATGGACACGGCTGGTTTTTTTCCCCCATTCTCCTTCCTATCTTTGGGCCAAGTGTCAAACAAATATGAAGCAGTGACAGTGACACGAGCCCAGTGGCAGGACTCGCAGGGCTGGCGCCTGTGATTATGGCGCGTCCGGCTCTGTCACATCCAGCACGGAACAACGTCCTGTTGTGATTTCCACGGAACAGCAGGGCTTCTGAGCCAGGCAGCTGCGAGGCAGGGCCACCAGCAGAGCAGATGAATATTAGCCCTTATTTAGAAGCTATTCTTAACGCACTTAAAAACAAAATGCATGTATTATAGCTCTCTATTAAACCATCCAGCCCTCTCCTCTGTCATCTGCATGTTGGTTTTTCAGTAGAACTTGGCTGCTATTTTTTTTCCTTTTGCCAACTCTTGTTGTATCCCTGTCTGCCTCTGATGCTGGCACGCCGGCTGGCAAAGATGTCGGTCTGGACCTGGTTTAACTTGGTTAGTTCTGTTTTATACCGTATGTATTGACTGTCTTTAAGTCAGCATATTTTGATGGAAATGTACTTATTAGTCATAAGTGAGTTGTTTGAAATGAGAGCAATCAAAAGAGAAAAGTGGCTCTGTCTCAGAGCAAAGCATTCCTTATGGAAGAAAGCTGAGCTTTTGTTTGATTTCCAGCCTTTTTAGGCCTTAAGCCTTTTCCACCGTGAGCTGCACAGAAGGTATGCAGATTGATTGAGTTGTCATGTATCGGATGTATCAAATGATCTCTGTGTCAGCAGCTAGGCCTGCACAAATTAAACCACCAGAAATGTCGGCGAGGGAGGAGGGGGGAAGCTGAATATGAGCGAGATCTGTGATGAGGTTGGTAATTATGGAAACAATGCGATTCAG